CAAAGAGCCAGGTGGTTGGGACACATAGTTATGATGTTTAACGACAAATAGATTAGTAGGATATTGTAGAAGAAGCTTGAAAAAGACAGAAAAGGCGACAGAACAGAACAATATGGTTAGAGAAAGGTAAGAAAAATTTAAGGAAAATACTTGTCATGGACTGTATAGAAAAGACAACGAATAGAGAAAGGCCCCAATATAAATAGGTAGTACAAATACCATAACTTATGTTACAGGACTTTGTTATTTCCAAAATTTCTGATTTACCGATACTGTTTTTACACAGTAATATCCAGTTTTAAATATTACTGTTTCTTGAAAAGTATTGAAGGTATCTGAATAAGACAACAATCAAGAGACTACAGATAGTTCCCTTACAACATTTCTCTCTCTACGATTATATAAACATTTTTTCTTATTTCTAGTCATAGCCTGTCGTATTTGTGAATGTCAACTTAGTGATAGTACTTACACTAGCTTCCGAGAACGTTAGAAAGCAATTTGAAATTAAAACTCACTTGAAAGGTAAAGTAGCAATAGAAAAAGAAATTTGTCTAATAGGTATTACCGATCTTAATGAAGTAGAAAGGAATTTATTAAACCGAAGTAGACTACTGCTAAAAACAACGTTCTATACATAAAGATGAAAGATTAGTATACACCTATTATTTACTGAAATAAATTTGGCAATAAAATATCAGTGTCGGTATTTTCATTACAACTGAACCTTGAAAGAAACATTTTAAGTGTTGTTGGAATGCATAATGTTACCTTGGATATATTTCTCTTAAATAAAAAAACAGTAAACAATCATTGCAGTAATTAAAATTACACTTAAAAATAGCCTTTATTAATAGTCTGCTAATAATTTATAAATGGCATGAACAATAGCTTAAATTCAAATGTATGTTCTTGTATTTTGTGTTAGTGAAACCTACTGTGTATGTTTAGTATGTAAATAATAAAATAATTTGTTTTCCCAATCGTTTTCGTTTCTAAATAACCAAAAGTTTAACATAATTACTAAATTATCTGAAATATTTGGAAATTTCTTAGCAGCTACATTAATTTGTAAATACAAGAGAAAATAAGCAAAATATATTTAATTCGTTCATACTACTTCACACCATTTCTTAAGGAGAAATTAAACAAATTTATAATATTTTAGTCTTGATTTAAATTTTATATTACTCATATTTAAGAAAAAAATAAAATACATTTGGTACTACAGTGATAAAATTGTAGAAATTTTTTACATATTTGTAATGATTTTTATACATGTGTAAGTGAAATGAACATATATTCTATATTGTGTAGAATTACATGTTTGAATTTATACTTTCTTTTTGTTATGATTGTATTCTTCACCTTTTACATTGTACTTTTACATTTTAAAATATATTATTTCTAATCATTTATGTGTTTTTACTATATTTAATGTAAATATACAAATACAAGTGTGAATTTACATCACTTGATTTGGCTCAACCAATCATGGATATCTTTGAGTATATCTTCATTTAAAGTTATTGAAGAGTATGAGAAACATAAAAAATAACCATATTGAACTTTGCTTACCCTTTACACACAGACATCCAGATTGTAGCTTACTATTTGACACCTATTTTACTTATTGTTTTACTTATACTATATTTTGTGTTTAGTTCAATGTTGCCAAGAAGTGGCCAAAATTGAAAGGTGTCGTGCATGCATCGAAAATACTTTTGAAAATTTTTAACGAGGTCCAGAAAAAAAAATTTTATTTCTTATTTTTTTTATTATAATTTGGACTCAAATTTAATCTGCTTACTAACCATTAAGAACTCAAAACACTCACACAATTGTAAAATACTAGAAAAAATGATAAGATTGGCACTTAAACGTAAAAAACATTTTTTAAATAGGTAATTTATTTGAGTAATTTATACTTTTGGCGGTCCAGTATTTTACCTTCCGCGGTCCGGACCTGGACCGCGGTCCGCCAGTTGCCGACCCTTGATTCATTGAGTAATTTTGCATAAAATTTTTATTAGTGTAAATACTGGATGAAGTTTTAATTTTATTTATTTTATTTTAATTTTTTTCAGAAAATGGAGTCACTTCTGTGACTAGAAATCATATTTTTATAGTGTACAATAATTGTATTTGACAGCCCGTGTGATAAACATATGTTTATAGCTTTTCCCAAATTATTTTCCCATATTTTCTGTTACACTATGTGTAACTTGTCATTCATTGTGAAACTATTTTATTCCTATTTGTTGTATAAAACGAACAGGTGCTAAGTAGATAACATTTTAAGATATGACTAATCTGAAAAAAGAAAGAAAATTCCACAGCCTACAAAGTGTTGTTATACTCCTATTAAACATTTATTATTATCTACTGCATTATTTATCAAAAGCTTTAATTAATATTGATATAGGTCGTTAAATCTGTATAGAGACAAGCCATGTGCAAATCATGTACTAACAGTCATTCAGTAAATTATTGGTGCATAAATTATGGAAAAAATTTTATGATTTAATAAATCCTATAGGCTTTGTAAAACTGACTTCCTACAGGTAAATACAGTTAATCTGTCTGTTTTATTACTTACTTACTTTAGGTCTAGTTCAGGTAAATGTTTATATTTTAGTTTGATTGATGTAGTGTAGAATTTTAGATAACTAATAAATTAAACACGATTTATTAAAGGATAATTAAATTTATACGATAAATTAAGTTCTCAATTGTACTAGAAGAATATTTTTAGTTTACCAATTTTGTTTCAAAATATTATTGTGCATGTGTCTAATAAAAACAGTTTCTTAATTTTGCGAAATTAATGCAGATTTTAGTTTACTTCATTTCCGTAACTATTGCTTTCCGCTTTCTTAAAAAATTGTCAAATGATTTCATTTCCTTTTTTTTATATTTATTTTTGAAATCTCTTAGAGTCTAGCTGGCGCAATGGTATTATTTTAAATTTAAGGCTCATTTCTGATGTAATAACTATTTTAATAATATTTAGTCAACAATTATTCAATTTTTTCATTTTCTCGTTCTCTTGAGAATGTTCCTTGTTTTCTGTGTACCTGAATATTTAAAGTTTTGCAATAAGTTCCAGTGTAAACTAGTTTGGCAAAATATTACACTTTATATATTTTTTTGAAGACATGTAATTATTAATAAATTATTGTTTATTTATGAAAACCTATTCAATATATTAATATAAACAATTTTTTTGAGCATGTCATGCTTTAATGGAAGTACATGTATCGAGTGTCCCACAATTCACGCAGGATAGCATTACAGTTCACAGTTCAGGATTATTAAAAATGTAGCACTACACAAAAGAACAACGCGTTTTCATTGTTGAGCAATATTTTCAATAAAAAATTTACAATTTTTAATTAAAAACCTGTGTTTTCTATCAAAATCACTTCTTGCATGAAATTTGGGATACCCTTTAGTAGAGAAAGGAAACATTAAGGGAGCGTAAGCAGGTGATTTTGTTAACGTTATTGATCTACTTTATGTGATATTAAACATCGTTCTAATTTCTGATACCGAGTAATTTATTACGTTGTACCTATTATGGAATGAAAGAAATAAATATCAGGCACTAATTGGCGCACTCTAAAGGCGGGTATCCACTTGTGGCAATGCTCCGTAACGTAACAACGAACATGTTACGGCCTGTTGCAAGGTGACACGGTTCGCTGCGAAAGTATGTGTGGTTTTGGTCGTATCATTCATTCCGTAATGTAACAAAATAAGGTTACGAGACGACACAGGAACATAAACTCGCAGTATGAACCTNATTATACATTATATTATACCCACTACATACATGTCCTCAGTTATTGCGAATCACAAATATCAATAAATCAAATATTTCTTAAAATATTTTATATTCTCTCTAAAAAATACCCACACGAGTTCCAAGCTCACCATAGTCCCCAAGCTACTCGCCTAGGTCTAACCTGCCTACGGCGAAGACCCTCAATGAGTACCCAGCTGTTAAGCTGCCATACACTAGGCCTCCTACGAGGCGCAGTGAAAAATGCTGCTTCCCGAGCTTACAGGTACTCTATGGAGTCCTCAGATAATAATCCTTAGTGCCTAACCCGCACAAAAAAAACAGTGGTAATAACACTAGAGTCACAGCGCAACTAACAAATTCAGTGCAAAACATTCTAGGGTCAGTTGGTACCCTAAAAATTTTGAACTCAAAAGCAAGTGAAGTGCATCAGTGTGTCTTCGGACTCAAAATAGAGCATGGACCAATCTTCCTAAAGCAGCCTACGATTTCGTCACCAGTGCCCAATAGAGTTACACGACGTGGCGCGCGCTGCCCAGCAAGGAGTACCGACATACGAAAGCTCTGCGGCCAATCAAACCGAGCAATCAACGTATTCCATGACAATACCTATGTTAGGCATTTGTTTGGGATAGTTAGGCATTTGTTTTGGACTTCACAACGTGTTTTATCCTTTTAATATACTGGTATAGGGTGACATGCTGTTAATTAATGATTACGGAGCATCGGCTTATAGGGATACTAAGCTGTTTTTTCATATGGAACATCCTGAGTATTTGTAGATATTCTTCGTCGAATAGTAAGGCAGATATGACTAAAAGAATATGCCATAAATTTAATGTGTTAAAAAGAAATTACTATTTGTTATGTTTATGGTACCTCCTTTTGATCTACAACTCCCTTATTGGTAAAGATAGATTCGTCAAATTTTGTATCACTGTAATTATAGGGAATCGTTCTTTTTTTTTATTATTTTTTAATATTCCATTAAAAAAAGATAATAGATTTGTATCTCTGTAACCCGATGGCCAGATATCTTTCTAACATAGGTTTTGAAAAATATAAAAAATTTTCTATAAATAAAAAAATGTGGGTGACACATATAGGTGTAACTGTAATATTTTAAGAGCACAGTTTTGCTGACAATTCATAAAATAAAATTAAACGGAAGTTAGTTACATTTTCTTGTACTTACATCAAAATCTTCACACCATACGTAGAATATTTTTACGTTGTTCAAATTCTTGCCCTCGGGTAAGGTGATCGTTATACCTTCTTTTCGGTATCTCCTAATAACTTCCCCTTTGCCGTTTTCGTCCCGCAGTCTAAATCCATTTTTGTCCGCAACTTTATGTGTGCTGGCGTAGAAGTATGCACCTGAAAGAAGTAGAAGTGTTAATGTCGTTAAAAGAAATTATATTCAGTAGTAATCAAGCCAAATAGCTTGACGTTTTTATTTATGTATGTATGTATGTATGTATTTATTTATTTAAAGGTACACCTGCTCAACGGGAAGAACACAATTAGAGGGCAGGGAAGAGTGAACTCTACATATACAGGGTGGTTCAGTCTTAATGTAATTAATTTACATTACGTATTCGGAAGGCCTAATAAAGACAGAAAATCGAAAAAAAATTACTCGACCTTTTAAAAAATAAGCAAATTACCTTTTAACTCGCGTTAACTTGGCGCCCTACAAAAAAGTAACTTCACGGACATCTTTGTCAAGTTTAGTTTATTGCCTAAGATAATTTAGGGATTTTAAGCTACAGGAAGTAGATCTCTAAATTAAAATTTTGCAATAGTGGAAAACAACAATTTTTTTGACCAAAAGTATGGGAAGGAACTTGTTGTTTAAATGGCAAGATATATCTTGAAAAAAAAAGCGGCTAAAGGAAAAATGGCAAGAGTCACAATATTTTAACTCAAAGAATCTGTGTTTTATTGTATAATATTTACTTCTAAAACATTCCAAAAATGTTTAATAAATTATTAACAGCTAAAAAGGTTTCTAGTTTAATAAAGAAAGATGAAGTCAGACATGCATATTTCTTATACGCTTAACCACTACATATTATAAAACAAAGTCCTCCGCCGCGTCTGTCTGTCTGTCTGTCTGTCTGTCTGTCTGTTCCCGATAAACTCAAAAACTACTGCACCGATTTCCATGCTGTTTTCACCAATGGATAGAGTGGTTATCGAGGAAGGTTTTAGTATATAATTTGTTAAGTTTTTGTATACATTAGCGATATTTGTTGGAGGTGTCGGAAAAAAATAAGCCGTCTGGGAGCTTTCAACGAAAACGCTGCCTAAACCATTTGAGATATAACAAAATAATGTATGGTGGAATTGTGTATCTTATATAGGTCTACAGAAAAGTCCGCGATGGCATATGTCTATCCCTTAAGGATAACATACTATATCCATTTTAATACTTTAAAAAATGGGCAATTATAAAGCGGTAATTGGAAAGCTATTTACACAAATACGGTATTAATCCTTATCATTTTAAATACGTTAGTTGGCTTGAGCATTTCATGAAGATTATTTTTTCCCTTTACACCATGCAAATTAAATGAATACCTTAGGAGATATAGCAAAACCAAAATAATGCGCAACGAAATTAATTTCGTGTCGCCGTGATTCGACCGGGCCGCGCGGGCGCCCCGTGACCCCGCGCCTCGCGTCCGAGCCGGGGGGGTCCGAAAGTTTATGTAGTGTATCAATGTATGGTGGAATTGTGTATCTTATATATGCCTACAGAAAAGTCCGCGATGGCATATGTCTATATGTTAAAGATAACATACTACCTATATCCATTTTAATACTTTAAAAAATTGGCAATTATAAAGCGGTAATGTAAAAGCTATTTACACAAATACGGTATTAATCCTTATCATTTTAAATAAGTTAGAGGCTTTAAGCATTTCATGCACATTATTTTACTCTTTTACACCATATAATTTAAATGAATATCTTAGGAGTAATCGCAAAAAAATTACGGACGCGAGAATAAAATTCAAGCGCCTCGCTTCGCTTGATGCGATCGCCGACCCTCCCCCCGCACCGTCTTGCCTACTGTTTAGCTAATAAGCCGAACGATAACGCGCGCGTGATCCTTTAATAAACTGACTTGGAGCGAATGGAGGTGACGACTGACGACTGTGTTTTCTTTCTGGGTGTTGTTGGAAAGTTATAATTGCGTTCGATATTTTAAGGTCACATTTTTGTTTTGTATTTGTTGTCTTTAGGTAGTCGGAACATACATAGATACTTGCAAACATACTTTTATTTCATTGAGTTTTAATAATTTGTTTGTTTTTTTCTTATTGTGAATCATTTAAAACTTCATAGTCGCATTTTTGTTTCGTGTTTGTTTTCTTTAGGTAGTTAGATACCTAACTACTTACTTATTAATTAAAATTGATAGTCCTGAACATAGGTACTTTAATTTAATTCGTTTTGTTTTCACATTGTTGGTAGTTACCTATATTGTTTTAAATTTAAAGGTTTTGCATTTTTAGTTTTGAGTTCGTTTGTTGTCTTTAGGTATATAGATATATCGTGAATTATTTTAAAATTAATATTAGGGTCGCATTAGATGAAAGATGATTGATTTTTTGTTTGTTACGATTTAACTCAAAAACTACTCAACTAATTTTACCGAAAGCTACATCTCCTCGGAGTAACATAGGCTATTTTATATTTGCCCGTGCGAAGCCGGGGCGGGTTGCTAGTATTACTATAATTTATAATATTTTTGTCCACGATTAACAAATTGTAATTACCTACATCTGGATTAAAATACAGAATTGGGTTTTGTACAATTTTTTTTTATACTTGATAACTGATATTTTTAATTTCACATAATAATAAGATTAAAACAAAAGGATTTTATAGACTTGAAACTATAACTACATACTTGACATGTAATTAAACCAATTTTACTTGTCTTAAACTTGTCATGATCTCAAGTTAAGCCGATGATAGCGTGAATATCTAATACTCAGTGTCATTTAAATAAGCGTGAAAAGTAAACTAAACTATTATTAATGCCTAACAAATGAAAATAGCAAAACACTGTATTAATCTAATGAATTTATTTATATTATTTCATGTTTTACATTAAATCAATGGTGCGTCAAAATATACCGTGATGAATTATTGATTATAAAAATAAGTAATAATATTTATTAGTTAAAAAAAAACTATTCACGGCAATTTATAATGGAGATCATAAAAATGAAAGCTTAAATTTATTAGTTATAGAATAATTTGAAAGCTGGGGTAAGGTTACTTTTTTATGAGATTATTCTGTTTCCTTAATAACCATATCTATATACCTAATTATATGCCATTGAACTATCTTTAAACTGTTTAATATCTTTAGATTACCTTATATTTTTTTGGCGATTTTTTTATCGATCTCTTAGTAACAAATGCTTTTGTGATGTTGGTATTTTGTAATTGTGGTAACTATATAATTCTTTTTCCGTTTGTTAGATGGTTATCTTTTATTCATTTGCAATTAATGATTAAACCAAAATGATTTATATTGTTAACTAGGTATTCTGTTTATGTTGCTTGAAAGTTAATTTTCTTGAAAAATCTGGTAACAGTTGAGTATTATTGACAAAAATCTGACTGTGACTTTTTAAATATTAGTTTTAATAAAATCAGGGTGTCCTGATTTATAAGTGAGTCAGTAAGTTAGACTAGACGATTTGGGAGTCGTTTTGAATTTATTTGAATTAGGTAGCTTTTAATACCCATAAAACAAAGTAAAATTAGGTGTACAGGTTATTTATTGATACACTGTTCTACAGGAGTAAAATTCAACTACAGAACAGCAGGGTAAAGAGAAAAAAAAGTACAGAGGAAACATTAAAAGAAACGTAGAACAACAATGGATAAAAGTAGAACAAAACAAAAATATCTTCAAAACTATTTTGTTATTTATATAAAAAGAGAGCGTCAATAGTTAAAAAATATGTTTTTAACACAGTATGTAAAAAAATATGGTCATAACTTCAACAATAAAACGTTGAAGAAGCTGTGAAAAAAATAGAACACATAGAGCCGGATTTATGAAAGGGGCGTAAGGCGTTAGGCGGACTAAGGAGTTTTGCGCCCGTGTAAACGTATTCACAAAAAATGCGCTTCCCTTGCGCCTTTTACTTGTGCTAATAGTTACGTCAAAATTTAGACCTTCAACATAACATGCATAAAAATCATGCAACTTAAGGTGTGGTTTATTAAGTTCATTGCATTTTATTTTTTTAATTACAATATATTATAAGTATTTCCAGTGCTTCATAATAGTTCAAGCACAAGACAATAGACGTGGCATTATAATTAATAGCCTTCTTCGCGCACTTTTTGTGCTATAATATCTAAAGGGCGTTCCAAAAGTAACGCATGATTTGAATTGTGCGCCATTTTTATTCCGAAGTGTTGGCAGTATTGTGCAGGGTCACATGTAGTAATAAACACGTAGCGGTTAGACAAAATGATGTGCTATACAACGGATGGACGAGTGAAGATTAATTACAAATACGGAGAGTGTGTAGCTGAGACTGTGCGCAGATTATGTGGAATTTTCGGTAGAAATGACACCCCAAATAAAACAATTGTCAAAAGATTAGTTGCCAAATTTGAACAAACAAGTTCGGTTGCAGACAATAAAAAAAACAGGTACGTACTGGCCGTTCAGCTGAAAATATTGTTACGATGAGTGATAGTGTGGCGGAAATTCCTGTAACCTCAGTGCGCCGTCGGTCTCTGCAATTAAACGTTTCAAAAAGCATGATATGCATCTGCATCCATTCAAGATTCAGCTAACCCAGGAATAGATAGAAACCAGATGACTATTTAATGCGCTAGACATTCTTCATTGATCCGTCCTTCTTTGAAAATGGGGCTCGAACGATATCGAGAGGTGCTATTTAACTTTTTGTGGCCTCATCCACATTCCAGCAGGATGGTGCCATCTGCCATACGGCACGTGAAACTATCAACTGAAACAATCACTACAAAAGGACAAGAGAAGCACTGAATTCAGGAAGACACTATGTTGTTTCATTCTCTCCACATAAAACTTATTCCAATAAAACAAGCTTTATCCGGTCCAAATAATTTTTTTCATAATTTTTCGGGAATTTCAGTTATTTACTCAAATCTTGTTGGTGCTGGAATAAAACTAACAATGGAATCGAGTTCAGTCCGTCAAAATGCATATGGATAGAATTATGAGATTACCAGGTCAGTGCACTTTTTTTCTTCTGAGTAATGTATTCACATGGCTGTGAATTGAAAAATTCTGCCGGTTGATGATCCCTTCCTTCATTCCTCTCTACAACTAACTTTTCTACAGTACA